CCTTCTCTTCGGAAGCTGGCAGTTGGACTTACCTGAACTGCATGTTTCGACGAGAAGTGTGGGAGGAGTCACTTCCCACCCGTTAAGGCGCCCCGCGCCGTGCGGGGGGGCTGAGCACGTCCAGGTTCAAGCAATGGCTAGGAGGAATTTGTGTTGGCTGTTTCTTTTTCCTTCCTTTCAGATGCCGTTACAGTCCATCGTTTAATCTGGGTAGCCACAGGAACAGCAGGAGGTGTGGCTTCCAAAGATTTCCTCAGTCTCCAATAGGCAAGAAGGCTTGGTTAATACCCATGGTTACTCCTCATGGTTACTCCTCCCACACTTCTCGTCGAAACATGCAGTTCAGGTAAGTCCAACTGCCATTCTTTTTAATTAGTGACTGCTAAGTTCTTGGCACTTGTAACATTTATATTCAGAGGTATCCCCATTGAACTCAATAAAACATTTTTGGTAAGCATGACTAGAGTCATGGCAATGCATGAACCATCCAGAAGTATGTTGTGAAAGTACTTTTAAATAATTGGAAATCATATCCATGTCTTTTTTTCTCTCCAATATGTCTTAGTGTATTTTCAAAATATACTCAAATAGCATATTTATATTTTATTTATTTGTCAAATTAATACTACTCTCAACAGTTTAGAAAACAAAACAAAAGCAAAAAACACCCTGTATGCTCTCTGGAAGAATCCCACGTGCAGCTTATTCTGGAAGGTATTTAATGTCAGAGGTAATTGAACTTCTAATGGGAGGCATTGCAGAATAATATCCCTAACACAGAAAAGGAACATTTCTGGGCTTCAACACTCTTAACTTCTGAGATGGAAAATAACCATGTGCTTCTCCTGGTACAATAAAATTAGTGAGGGATGATTCCTTGTATTTAATTTGGGAGCTTCTGTTTATCTCTGAAGGCAACCTCATTTGGTAGTGTGAATGGGAGAAGATAAGAGCCTGACACATTATAATAAGTTCCTCACATCGCAGAGAGAGCCACAACTGGTGCACTATCTAAAGCTCAGCCAAAGGCCCCTGTCTAAGACTTCTACATGCTATTGAGCAGGATCCAAAAATCCAGGAAGTTTCCCTAGTGGTAGACCTCCTTTTTCGGTGGTAGCTCACCCCTTCCAGAGTAGGACTATAGACTCTGATGCACAAATAGTACATCTGTCTTACTAGGATTCAGTTTAACCGTAGTTTTTCCCATCCAAAACTTCACAGGTTCCAGGACAAAACTTTAATCCTGTAAACCTGTAGTAGAAGTAGCATTAGCAATCACAGATTTGGTTTCCTAGTCTAGTCTAGTCTATCTTGAAGGGCTGACATTGGTCTTGCAAATCTCAATACAATAAGATTCTCCCCTCCCTTCTTTTATCTTCATAGGAATTAGAGAGGGTTAAGTCCAAGATATTTTCTCAAATGGTATTTTTTGCCTTGGACTCATTTTTTTTATTTGACTGTTTTCTTGTTTGAAGCTCTTCCCTCTATTTCTCAACATAGTTCCTACATTGCAGTTATTCAATTGGTTTTTGTCTTCAATTATTTTAACAAAGTGAGTTGGTTTTAACCAATTGCTTAGTGCATAGAGTCATTGCTGTAAATTGGGAATCCATAAAAATAAAATAAATAGGAGTGGAGACCGGGCAAAAGTTCTCTAACATCTCTAGATACAAGAGGGTTCCAAATGTTATATATGGAATTTCAAATTCCAAAATGTACCTTCAAAGATATTAATATTGGGGGATTAATTCATTTTATTATGAGCAATATCATTTTTTAGAATTATAATTATGTTGTTATAACAATAATTAAACTAATAATACACGTTCATCTGAAAAAAAATGCAAATCAATAATCGCTCACTTTTACTGCAGCCAAATAGGTTGTGGACATCCAAATTGCTAGCATTGGGAACACAGTTGTCACATTTTAAGCCAGCTGCAAATTGTTTACACATACATTGTCCAGTAATGGGATGACAAGTCCAATTAATAGCTCCAGCAGGATGACAATTACAATGCTGACATCTATAAACAAAAACAAATCATGAAAATAATGAAAACACATTAACAGTTGTTAGACACAGTAGGGCTTAATTCACTAGCTTCTTTTAACTAACATAATTAGTATCACAAATGAATAACTTAAGAAATTGAACTTTGGTAGGGAAAAACATAACTATATTTAAATAAAGAGTTGCACCCCAAATTTAGACGACTGTACTTTTTTTCATTTAACCACTGATCTTAATGTGCCTGTGGTAGATTTGCAAAAGTTAAAGACCGCAGAATAGGCTATATAGACATAAACAGTTGTTCAAATGTTCTAGTCCCAAACTCTATAAGACTTTATACATCATATTGCTCTTGCATTGAAACAGCTACAGTGATTACTAGTTGCTTTCTGAGCTCAGTTCATATGTACAATATTTTATCTGACTAAATGTGGTGTTAAAAATCAGTAATCAAAGATGTAAAATCTCCCCTTGGCGGTTAAATGTATTTACATATTAAATGTATAATGGTTGTGGTGATTTTAGAAGTATACATGCTGGGAATATAAAATGTATGTGTTACTAACGTTGCTACATAAGCCAGGTTATTGGCCAGGAACCTGAGTGATTTGCTATAAATGTTAGATAATTCTATTGACCTGAAAATTAATATTTCAAGACCAAGGTGGGTTATAGTTTACAAGGGAAATTGGAAAAAAATGTAAAGTTATACATGAAGGAAGATAAATTAGACTAAACAGATGAATTCTAGGCATGTTGAATCAGAAATAAACACTTTAACAGGCTAATTTCTATATAAATTCCAGCCAAGTGTCTTTGCTGAAATATTCTGCAAGAGGCCCAGTCAGAAAACCCAATGTTTTTGTTGAGTTTATACAAGCATAGAATCCTTTAATCCTTCCTCTGTGTACTGTACTCCAGTACAAACCCTTCCTCTAACTTTCCAATAACCCTGCTCCATTATTCCTTACAAAAGCATAGCATTTTATGCAGTCAGTGCAAGAAAATAAACTTGCTCTGAGACTACTGAAAAGTAGCAGTTGCTCATCTGATTATTTCATTATTTAGGTTAGCACAACAGATATCAAATTTAAATCTACAGAAGACCGCCCCTATTGGGTAGATGTTTTACTTCACGTTTTAATAATATGGCAACTTCTGTAATACTTAATAACTTTGGACTATAGCCAATAAAGTTAACAAAAGCATTTCCTCTTGCACAAGTTGGAGCATTTAATTTTCACAAGTGCTCCCAAACCACCCATAAGTACCTTCTGTTCCACTCATAACTCTGCTGTTACAGATTGCAATATCTTCTGGAACCGAATGGTATGGATGATAGCAATGCATAATGTTGGGGTGGGGGGGGGGACTCAGATGCTTTTGACTGAATGAGAATTTTTGGTAAGTCAGGGATGAGCCACTTATGGCCCCAAGGGTGCAATGATGAAATTCAGTGGCAAACCAACAACACAATCGGTGACACAATTTTTTGTTTTTTTAAAAATGAAATAAATGCAAACACATCTGTGAAGCCTTTGCTCGGTTTACTTCATACTTCTAATATATCTCTCCGCCCCCCCACACTACCATTCCAAAAGAAGATATTTTGCCATATTCCCTCTAGTGACATTGTCACACCTCCATGCTACCATCAATTCCTGGAGGCAGAAAAAATGCCCATGTCTGTGCTATATTAAAGGATGCAAACAACTCTTGATAAACAGGACTACTAAATAGATCCCAGGGCAGGAAAACTGTAGTTAAAAATGATTTGCTAGTTGTTATGATATTTGATATTTATTGCCTCCTTGTGATGAGGGGAGGGTGTATTTGAGTGTCCCTGAGAGAAATGCTCACAGAACATCCAATATGCCAAAAATATATTTCTAGCAGGAATACCCAAGGCTTGAAAGTTATTCCAACTGTCCAGATAAACTAAGGTTGGATCCTTTACTGGCCAGCAGTAATATAGGAGGATTATATCTAGAGGCAAATGATCAAAGGGATTATTTCATACCCAGTGGAAGAAGACAATGGTAAACTACAATGGAAAAATGGAAAAAAAAATACAGATAAGAACATACGGAAAAAGAGGAGCTAGATGTTCAAGTTGGTTTTGCAAAGGCTGAAGAATAGGAGGCATTATTGTTGCTGATACATACTAGAAAATTGAGAAAGTCAAAGAACATCAAAAAGAAGCCAATATGTGCATCACTAATTATAGAAATAGTCAAACATATCAAGTTGTGCTTAAAAATGGAAACACTTCATTGTATTCACGAGAAACCTCATGAACTTTATGTCGAAAAAGAGAATATCATGGATGGCCAAGAAAACAAACCAATGGATCATCAAACAAATAAACCAGAGTTTTCACTTGAAGAGCAGATGACCATTATAAAAACTATCTATTTCAAATAAATTATGTGAAGAACTAGATTTCTGGAGAAGGTTCTAAGGCTGGGAAATATGGAATGAAGGAGAAGAGGATGACTGTAACAAGATGGATTGATCCAATTCTAGTGACAATGGATGACAAGGGAAGACCTGAAGGGCAAGTTTAAGGATAGACCATTGTTGAGAAAAAAAAACAATCTATGTGATCACTAAGAGTTGACACCAAGTTGATGACAAATCAAAAGCTTCAAAGTTTTCAAGTTTTTAATTAGAAAAGGAAAAAAATTTGGAAGGCAATGATTTGTTTCACCCTGAGCTATGCTATGGATATTATAGGAGGCACATTCTACTTTCATCCTTTCCTAATTTACCATTGTGAGAAACTTTGCCACGAGTTTTTAGTAGCCATGCATAGAAGAGGGTCAAATGCCTTAAATACTTAGGGTCATGCTACTTGAAGAGATGCTTTCATCTACATCAATCTGTCCTATTTTAATGTTAAGAAACAGGCCCCTTTTATTTCGCATCCTTTGAGAGGTGGTAAGAGTCCCTATTCTTCATTATCTAATTTAAATATGGAACAAGTTGCTATCTGACAATTTTTTGAGTTCTAGCATAGACAGTTTTAGGGATCTTTAAAGGCATATTCATATATTCAAGCAATCTCTTCAGTGCTTTTATTTTTCTAAAGTTAGATGCTTTTCAGTATCAAAATTCAAACTATGAATTTTAATAACTGCTTTTATGTTAGATTTGTAAATGTTTTATTCTGATTTCATTATTGTAAGCCACCTTAAAGAACCCCAGTAGTATTTTACATGAACATAACAAGCTATGTGAACATTTTATACAATTAAATATAATTTAATTGTATAATTATTTTCCTGCAGCATGTCTTTCTTTTTGAGAAAACAAAAACAAAAAGAGAAATCTCTTTAGAGAAACTTGTTAAATGTGTAAAAATTATCTCAATATATTTACATAAAATAGATCATATACAACTGGCAGTTGTGACAGACTATTTTAAACAGTTTTATAAGTCTTACTATTACTATTTTAGTAACTGCAACTGATTTATTTTTTGAGGAGTTATTGTTGGTTGTTTTTTTTAGTAACTCTTATTGTGTGATCTCCTGAGTTCAACACCCGTTAAAAGGCTGATAAAAGCTAAAGCAGCAAAATAAGCTGCAAATTTGTTTTATGGAATAATATCCCTTTGGGACTAAATAATAATAAAAATATACTTTCTTTCTTGAAAACTACATCACTGTCATTACTTTTCTTTCACAGTCTCTCACAGAAAGAGTATTTTTCCCAGAACTGTATTAAATTCTTTCATCTGTAGAAAGTCAAGCTAAATCCTCTTTCAAACAGAGTTTGCTTAATCTCTGAACATAACAATACATAATGTTATAGTTTTTGAAAAATATATAAAATTGAAAGTGTGATGTGATATACAATCACATTACAATATTTTATAGTTTATGTTTTCTTCACATACTTATTACTTAGCTTTTATTCTAGTTGAAGGGGTTTAATATATCTCAGCCAGTGAAATTAGAAAATAGTTTCTCCCAGTATTATTAGCTCATCAGAATAATTTAAACCAGAAAAAGAACACAAGTTGAAATGACATAATGTACTTTAAAAAACATTACTTCAGCAACCCTTATATGAACCATTGCAAAGCAGACCAAACTACTAATCTCCTATTGTATATGATGCCCAAGTATATTTCAGCATGTTGATATATTATATTAAATTACTTTCAATACTTGATGACAATTTGAGAGACAAGATGTTCCTCTACTCATTCAACATATAGCACTTTGTATTAAGGTAACGCTGGGGAATAGGACCATCTCCCTATTGGCCATCTCAGACTGCCCCACAAAGGGCTCCCTTTCTAGTCCCTGGTGGGACTGATCCCTGGTGGTGGATCTATACAGAAGTCTAGAAGATTGTTGCAGAAGTATAAAAAAATGTTTCTCCCATGCTTCTGCTGGATTAGGAACAGTAACATTTTATTTATCAGAGAGGGCAGTTTATAGGTAGTCCTCAACTTACGGTCATTAGCTTAATTTTATATATATATATGTCTCTAGTTATTCGGGTTTTCTCCCGCATAGAATTGGAGATGTCTTGGCGACGTTTCGACGAAGTCTCATTCGTCATCTTCAGGCTACTTCAGGCTACTTCAGGCTTGGTGTTTCCAGGAGTAAATGTCGCCAAGACATCTCCAATTCTACGCGGGAGAAAAGCCGAATAACTAGAGACCTACATACTAACACCCGCGAAAACCTCAGAATATATATATATGTGTCAAAATCCACTGCCATTTTCGAGATCAATTCAAATGTATTATTAAAACTTTGAATTCACCTATTAATAAACTGTCCAGAATACTGATAAAAAGGAACTAGAAACTGAATTTTCTGTAACATTTCCTTTCCTGCTTCCTCAAAGTACTTCCATTCTTTTCAACACCTATATCAGGGATGTCAAACTCGATTTCATTGAGGACCACATCAGGGATGTATTTGACCTTGGAGGGCCAGGGTCAGTGTGGCCAGCTCAATGTCATTCCTGTCGGGAGCACCTGTGGTGGCCTGAACACTCTGCCAGCGAAAACAGGCTCTGTTTTCAGCTGCCACAACCTCCTGCAACCCTCTGTCAGTTCATTGGCAGAGGGTTGCAGGAGGCTGTGGCAGCCAAAAACGGAGCTCGGGAGCCTGTTTTCACTGACAGAAGCACCACAGGCTGGTCCTTTGCTGTTTCCAGGGTGGTCCTGCGGGCCAGATCTAAGTACACTGCGGGCCAAATCTGACCTCTGGGCCTTGAGTTTGATGTCCCTGACCTATATGAATCATAACTCCAATTGGCTTAGCTTTGCAATAAAAACTTACTTCCCAGTTTCTGAGTTGAATCCAAAATAGTTGTCACTGCAGAGATCACATTTCATCCCAGATACAGAAGAATCATGGCAAACACACAGGCCAGTGAGAGTGTCACAAATATTGCTGACCGAGCCACTTGGGTGGCACAAACAAGGAAGGCAGCTCTCACTATGTGCAGAAATATAAAAACCTAATAAAGAAGAAAACAGTGTAAAATATGTATTGTCATAGATGTGTCCCAAACTAGAAAAGAAATTCTAAAGGAATGGAAAATATAAGGTTAAATTGGAATTAAAAAGTACAGGATCTCTTACATTTACTGAAACTGAGAAGTCAATTTTCTATAAATCTTTTTCCCCTTTTTTAAATGTTGATGGATTTGGAGCACAATGCAGTATGAAAGTATCTTACAATTTCAGTTTCTCAGTTTTTGGATCCTCACTTGGTTAAGTCTCATTATATTACCAATCCACAAACCATAAGTATAACATTTTATACATAATGTACAGACTTTCATACGTTTTCAAAGATAGGTTTTGTAGTACATACTGGTAGTCCTTGACTTACGATCACAATGAAGCCTGGAATTTCAATCATAAGTTAAGTCAGAAATTGAGAACTGGTAGCAAACGTAAGAGGATTTCACCCCTGGTTTCATCATATTTGGTGTAATAGTTAAGACACTAGGCTAGAAATTAGGAAATGTGAGATTTAATTTCTCCTTAGGCATGAAAACCACCTGTATGACCTTGAGCCAATCATACTCTCAGCACAATCCATAGCACAAGGTTGTGGTTCTGAGGAGAAAGGAATATTAACTACTGTATGTTCATCATCTTGAGTTATTTATTAAAAATAATTAAGGCAGAATAAAAATAAATTAAAAATTAAAAAATGAGCCAATATAAGGTTTGTCATACTATTTTTTCTTTTACTTTCAAGTATTTTTATGATAGGGTTTTTTCTACATTTTCTACCATCAAGACTAATATTGAAATAGGCTATATGTTATCTTGGTGGTGCTAAGACTTTAATGAATTTTAGTTGAGATACTGATGAAATAAGCTGTCACCCACACTCATACATTTCATTAAGGATCATAACAGATGGCTTAATGTTAAAGAAAATGACAGGGAGTTTGCAATATGAATTTAATTTTCCGTTTCCTTAAAGAAATATTCAAATATGTTATATATATATATATATATATATATNAGGAAGGAAGGAAGGAAGGAAGGAAGGAAGGAAGGAAGGAAGGAAGGAAGGAAGGAAGGAAGGAAGGAAGTTTATAGTACAAAATATTTTGAGGAAATATCCGTTTATCCTTTGGAAGCTGACATAGACATTTATCTAAAAGTGCATTAGATTTGTTTCACTATGAAAAACATGCTGATGTCCAAAATAAATCTTAAGTAAATAATGTTATATTTTACTACTCACAAAATGGGTATTGTTGGGATACCTACAAATTTCTGCTAAATACAGAAAAATCTGAAGAGCAGATTATACTTACCGTAGTTTAAACTGTAATTTGGTAGGAGTACTCAGTAATTATATGCTGCTAAATCAGATTTGTCTCATGAAATGAAATTCTCATGAAAACTACATGTCTGATCTGCGTTTAAATGATCTTGGCATCAAACATTTTATGTCTTGAAAAAGCAAAGATGTCTGGATGTAGATTCTTGCCTGGCACTTACCAATAACATTTTCTTTGCACTTGCATTGGCCTGAATTTTGGTGACAGGTAGTATCTCCATCAACTGTCCCAGAGGCATTACAGCTACAGGAGCTGCAGCCATCAGGATTGAACTCTTGCAGATTATAGAATCCTTCTTGGCATTGATTGCATTGTCTACCAGACACATGTCTTTTGCAATTACATTTTCCTCCAATCTAAAAAAAAAAAAAGATATAACAAGTGTGGTCAAATGTTGAGTGCACCTTTCCTCTCTTGCCTTGTGCATACTCATTAGTGAAATGAGTGTATAAGTAGGTTAGATAATCTTCAAACAGAAACAGGAATTTGTTTCATGCACTAATAGTTATTCACTAAAAAGAGAACTAGAGAAACAGCAGGAATTTAATACATTCACCTGAAGAAGAGTAAGTAGTTTGAGGAGAAAGATGCTTTGATGCATTCCTGAACTTTTATCAAACCACTCCACATATGGACAGCTTACTCATATGCAGCTTTCTTAGATGGTTAAATGCTAATATTTTAGACACTGTGGTGTATCTCCCAATTTCCATGCTACTTAATTTGTAAGACATTCCAAACTAAGATCCATATTAATCCATCATTGTATTTTTCACAGTAGTCATCTAGATACTTCTATGATGCTCACAAGCAAGGGATAGAGAGTTACCACGTCCTACTGCTACTTCCCTGCAACTGGTATTTGGAGGTATGTTTTCCTACATCCAGAAGAAAGACTAAATCTTTAAGCAGAATTAACAGGTTTATTTCCAATCAGCTTTGGTGGATAATATCCCTGTCAACTTCCTTCATGCTGTGAATAATTGTATATATCTCACTTGTATCTCCATTGCATTTTTTCTAAGCAACGAAGTCCCAAACATTTTTGCTAGAAAACCTCTGGATCAGTTTGCTGCCTTCTCCTGCTTTCTCCTGCACTATTCTTCATTTACTTGAATTGCCTTTGTTGTTACATTGAACATTCACCCATGTTTAGAGGAATCCTTCTGGAGTTTTCTACATCTCTGACTCATTAGTTATCATTGACAAATTTGCCAGTTACATCTATGCAGAGTTTTAAAAGACACCAGGTTCAACAAAGAGCTTTAAGGCACTTGTCTTACTTCTTTCTATTGAGAAAATTGTCCATTTACACTCTTTGCTTAACAGTCCATAGAAAACACAGACTCTTAGCCTGTGACCTCTAAGCTTGCCCAGACGTTTGATGCAGAACATCTGAAACGTTCTTTGAAATTGCAAGTATACAATTTATTATTTAGCAATTACTTAGTAAACAAATTTACATGGCTGCCCAAGTCATACACAAAATTAAAAACCTGAACAAAAATTCCTAGTGCCTCCTTCTCCTACCCTGCAGTGGCAATAAACACAATTAATACAATCAAAGCTGATTGGTTCCATATCAGCCTGATGAGAAAACCACATCTTCAGGGCCTTCCAGAAAAGTACAAGTAGTCCTCAACTCACAATTGAACCCAAATTTTCTGTTGTTAAATGAAACGTTTGTAAAGTGAGTTTTNCACACTCATACATTTCATTAAGGATCATAACAGATGGCTTAATGTTAAAGAAAATGACAGGGAGTTTGCAATATGAATTTAATTTTCCGTTTCCTTAAAGAAATATTCAAATATGTTATATATATATATATATATATATATATATATATATATATATGTGTGTGTGTGTGTGTGTGTGTGTGTGTGTGTGTGTGTGTGTGTGTGTGTGTGTGTGTGTGTGTGTATTGAATGGTTGTGTGTTGGGTGGTCTTGAAAAGTTTAAAATGCACCGCTTTAAAGCATCTGGAACGACTATAAACAATAAACATAACAGTATTTTTAATGGCTAAAATGGGCAAATGTTTCTTGGCTGCCTTGTATAACTACAATAACTACAAACTACAAACCTTCTCCTGATCCAGGGGCTCATTGGGCAATTTAGTCCAATTTAGTCCAATAAACTTGAAGTGAACATCAAGTTTATTGTCTCTGTTCTTTCATACGTCTTCTATCTATTTCATATTGCTAAAATATTTATAAGGAAATAGGATAAAATCCAGCAGTTCATCTTGGAGGGAGAGAATCAATGTACTAAAAGAAAATTGGAACTAAGTAGAAATTAAAACAAGTCAGATGTATGATTTTATTACAAAAACACTTTCTATAAATGTCATCTATGCATAGTTATATAGCCAGTATTTTTATTATGCATTTACCAACCTCTAAATGAAAATATTTTATATTTTCTTACATCATACCTGACAAATCTTCATGAAATCTACAGTTTTGGAACAAATGATATTCAGATTCAACTAATAAGTAATTTAATCAAGATAGCAATCTATATTTACAGTATATTGTTATATATACCATCTACAACTGTTAAGTATTTTAGCAACATTTGATTAGGAATGAAGTCAATGTTGAACCTTAATAGCCACATAGCCATATAGATAGATCTTGTCCAGGATGATATGTTCCCAACCTGTCATTCTGGTGGAAGAAAAGATAACACAGCAAATAGCAGCAAGGTGGATGGATTCAATTACAGTGGGAATAGGTGCACTACTAGAACACATGAAGGGTCAGGTTAGGGAAAAATTATTCTAGCTAAGAATTATTTATTGATCACTTAGGTGAAGATGGCAAGGAATCAGTCACTTAATTGTGAAGTCCTTGGGATTTGATTCTGACAAGGACTATTGTGGAACTGAAATAACAATAGGGTTATTACATATTGTTTATACATGGTATAAATGGTATAAAATACCAATAATTTGCCAGCAAAAGATATGCTGATTAGTCTTGTCCAGCCAGTATTGCTAACTTAAGTACATTCTTTTGATATAATAACCTCTGATTCAAACTAACATATGTTTATATTAGTTCCTCCTGTTGTGAATGGATACATCCAACATGCTTATTAAGGATTTCCTATAAAAAAGATTAGGCAGGAAGTAAATATTTTACATACAATATAGCTTGCAAGGTTTGATTTTACACAATCTTAATAGGGATTGCCAAAACATAATGATGTTTTTGTTCATCTTTTTCTTACCTGGCTTACACTTTTCACACCTTCTTCCCTGGCGGTGAGGCTGGCAAATACATTGTCCACTGGTTTGGTCACATGCTGTTCCTGGAAGTGTCCCTAGAGGATCACAGTCACAAGGCATGCAACCAAGAATATTTTGAGCAGTAAGGTTATACATATAAGGTTTGCACTGATTGCACTGATGAGCTGTGACACCAGATTTGCAAGGACACTGTCCTGTCAATTTGTCACACACTAAAGAGCCATTTACAGAGCCGGACTTATCACAGTTACATGGCATACAGAACGAAGCATTGTTTTGCCATTCTTTATAATACCCATTTAAGCAATCATCACATTGTCTTCCACCAAAGTTAGGCTTGCAAATACACTGTCCTGTTTTGGGATCGCACAATACATCAGAAACTGATCCTGCTGTCTGACAACTGCAAGGTTTACAGCCAAAAGCATCTATCCAATAAAAGCCATCAATGCAGGTATCACAATGAACTCCTTTAACCCCTTCCTTACAAGTGCACTGTCCAGTGGAAGGATTACACAAATCGTTCATGGAACCATGGATGTTACACAGGCAAGGCTCGCACCCATCTTGCTTAATATTCTGGATGACTTTATATCCAGACTTGCATTGATCACATATGAGACCTAAAAAGAGGGGGGGGGGAAATATTCAAAATAGTAATAAAATAACATAAATATATGATGTTGCAATTGAAGCTGAACAGAACACGAAGAGGTTGTAAATCACAATCTAGCAACCTTCAAATGGAAGAACAAAGGGAAGAAAGAATAAGACATCTAGGACAACTTTTTCAATTACATGCTTCCTTGATTGAAAGCTCTGTGGAAAAACCTAACTAAACACAATTTACAGCATCAAATTCAGCTACAAGCTGTAACATAACATAACGGTTCTCAACCTGTGGGTAGTGACCCCTTTGGGGAATTGAACGCCCTTTTCATGGGGGTCGCCTAAGACCATCGGAACTCTTAAACTCTTTAGACTCTAAAGCATGCTGTGTTGCTCTCGCGTGCGCCCGCACACATGTGCACGTGCACAAACTCATAAATACACACGCAGGGAAGCAGGATGAGAAATGCAAATGTAAAAAGGGAGTCTATATGTGGGGGAGGGGGAAGGTGGGAGAAATTGGGTTCCGGTTATTGGGTTCCAAGCCAATCAGAGCCGAGGGGCGGAGTTTTGGCATGACGGAGCATTGGTTGGGAGTCATTATAACATGAGGAACTGTATTAAAGGGTCGCGGCATTAGGAAGGTTGAGAACCGCTGACATAACACAACACAACACAATGTAACATGTCCTATTTATCCATAAAATACAGTAAAATCCGAAGGAGAGGCACCAGTGAATAAGCCCTAGATTTGCTACTAGAGTTGGGATCAATGATGACTAACCGATATTACCTTAAATGAATGGAAAGCAACTGAGTTGTAAATGCCATGTGTAGTCATAGAGTACATACTTTAGAAACAGAGAGTCTTCAGTAATCTCAACTTGTCTGCACACAGTGAATCATATAGAATAGAATAATAATAATGGAGTTGGAAGGGACCTTGGATATCTTCTAGTCCGACCCCTGCTCAAGCAGGAGACCCTATATCATACAGCTTCTAAAGTTTACAAAAACAAACCCTTCTGTCCTATCTATTTCAACTGTAATTTGAATTCCAATTCTTTTTAATAAAAAATTTTTAAAATATATTTAAAAGAGACAATATATAAGGATAAAAGTAACTATTTACAATATTAATCAACTTCAAAATAATAAATTATTATAAATAAAAATAGATGCAGAAGTGGACAGTTCTTCAAATCACTAAGGGCCTCCTTTTCTTGTCACTAATTTATTCTGTTTCCATAATACATTTGAAGCCAAAAAGGTATGTTTTTGGTATTTCAATATGTGCCTTATGATGGGTGGGCATTAGAATGATCACTCTCAGCATAACATCATTTCCTAGTTTACATTTTGAAAGGAGAACAAACTGAAGAGAGAAGGATTAGTAAGATACACTATAGGTAGAAAGATAGATCTAGGGAAGTTGAGATCCTAAATCCTATGAAAATCTTCCTTTTTGAGAGTGATAGGTTTATAAACACAGGTACTCTACTATAAGAATAAGGTGGCTGGCTGGAGTCACCAAAGCAGTAGGCGTGAGCTTAAATGGACTCCAGAGGATGGTAGAGGACAGGAAGCCTGGAGGAAACAGTGGTGTATTCTGGATCCTGTCGCAACTAGTACGGTGCAACGGGACCAGGAGTCCATCATGTACGCGCACACTGCGCACGCATGTATATCCACCACCGGCGATGCTCCAACTGCTTGGTATAGAGTCGCGCAGGCGCCCTATGATCCGTGGCCATGTGCAAATGGACTGGTTGGGTCAAATACAGGTAAGGATGGCGGGTGGGCAGGTGGGCCCTCTGGAGCACTGTACTGGAATGGTACCTGATACTCCCAGCAGGCACTGGTGCGCCTGTACCAGGGCAAAATGGCTGTAACCCACCATTGAACAGTAACTGTACTGGTCTAGATCTTCCTACGTTGCACCAAATCATATTATCTCAGATATTTATATATAATATTACACACAGACATACATACACACACACACCTCTTTCATTTTGAAGAAAAAAGGAGAAAAAGAAAAGGAGCACGAAACAGTGTAATATGTCTCTATCAGTTTTCTTTTGAAAGTTAGTTTAAGCTGCCTTGAAAACTATGCATTTAAAAAAAAATCTTGAGGGAATGTATGGTCTATTAATTTAGAAGTGAAGGGAATAAATTGAGAAGTGCTTCTCCTCTTTTAAAAATGACGGTTTTAATTCTGAATTCTTTATTTAAAAAATAAAATGAAATTGTGATTGTTCAGTTATTTGTGTCACATGATAAATTAAATCAGGAGATCTCTGTTTTAACAAACATCTTCTGTCTTTTAAAAAGCCACATGGGTACACAAATTTATACTTAGAATATTGTATGTTGAGAAAACAAATCCCCAAACAGTGGGGAACATATTAGATATGGACAAAAAGTGGAGAACTCCAATAGAAGGCAAGTTATTTCAGCAGTGATGAATGACTCACCTAAGGCATATCATTTAATTTCAATAAGGAAAATAAAAAGAGCACCATTGCTGCAAATTTTAAAAATAACTGTATTGTTAACAAGAATTATGACTCATTTTGAACTATTAAAATTGGTCTACATGGATTCATATCGTATCAGTTTTAAAAATATGCACCGTGCTTATTTGAATATGCCATACATATTCCTGACAGGTAATCTATTGCTAACGATACTAGGAAAGGCCTACAGGGCATCCCATTCAATGTTAACAAGTACAGGGGAGTTAACACGCTTGGCATTTAATTCACATTCTTCTCCCTTTTTTATTCTAGATAAATCACCTACTTTAATAAAATTATTGGTGCTAATGTATTTTAGTAGTGATAGGATCATTAGTAAGATTTAACAGTTGTGCTAACTTGAATAGGGCCTACTCTATAACACTGAAGTTCTTAGTTACATTTTCTGTTATGAAGCTTGTTTAAACTGATAGTGACAACAGCCTGCAAGGTTATTTGCACTGCACAACCAGCATTTTAAAAAGTATTCACATGTTTATTTAAAATAAATACACATCTTTCATGTAGGCTCTTTCAATGTTTTGTCAAATTGTTTTTTAGTTTAAAAAAAGGAGCAATGGTGGGTACATGAGATTGCTTACATATTTACTTACTAAATATGGAAGTTAATGTCCTGCCTCATGGGAGGAAATGCTTTATATAGTATACTGCTTTCCCAAACAAAGGGGCAAATATAAATTTTATATGGAATAGATAAACAATACAATGGGCAAGTAGTTAAATAAGAACTTATCATGTTTGTACTCCAGTGACAGAAAGATCTTACCCCAAAGTTAGGCAAACATTTTCACCAGGTCCTTTATATATGTATATCCATATATCTTTGTGCATGTGTTATACAATTACACATTAGTGTAATATATTAAGCACCAGTCATTTTATCCTTATTAATTTTCAAGATGATTTGTAAGTTTTATGCTTTCTATATATTTTGACCTGGTTCTAGATTATTAACCTCAAGAATACAAATACCCAATGCATCTTAAATGCCTTTGTCTACCTCCACCCATGTACAGTTTTGTTCAGTTTGTCCAGTGTTATATATAGAATTTGCACACACTCACATGTATACCAGGGTGGGTTCCTGCCAGTTCTAACCTCTTCTATAGAAGAAGTTCCACAAATCTACCATGCTGTTTAGAACTGGTTCCAGCTCCCNACACACACACACACACACACACACACACACCATCTGAAATACCTTTCAGAACACAGTTGTGAATAAAGTGCTTTTATAATAAAAGAAGTATTATTTTCCCTAAACTGAAGGTTTTTTAAAAAAATCTATAAGGATAAAACCCATATACTATTCTCTTCTGAATTCTGTATCTTCGTTTAGGCTAAATGACATATAACTGGTTCTTTACAGAAAAGCATTGATGAACTGCTCGGAATGGTAAATTATGCAGCGAAAGTGTATTCTGAGCCATTTAAACACACTTTCTTGAAAATTATCCTTGTGACGTGACAATTAATTTTCATGAGCCAGGACCTTATTCCTTACGATTCCATCTTCCATGGGTCAGCCTTGGAAACACTTCCTTCAATAATGCCTTTCTATCTCATGTAATTCATTTCTGCCCATTTTCTCCAGACTTATTAATCTATTTTTAATGCCTCTTAATCATTCTGCTCTATCTTGGTTTTTACTGCTACAGTCTATTTATGCCTTATTGAGCTGTACAGACCAGGGCCATTTTTCCTTATTTTCTTTTTTATAGCATCTTGGTGTTTCACCTAATTCCTCACTCTTGCTGAGCTTCAGTTTTAAAATCAAACAAAAGAAAAAGAAGTAAACCACGCAACTGCCTTATTACCTGCAATTAGAACAACTTAACAGTAAGCTATTGGCAACGTGGAATAATTAGCAATTTCAGAAGTAGCATTGGATTTATTTATTTAAAACATTTATATAGCCACCTATTTTATGTCACATTCTGGGTGTCTCCCATTAAAAAAACATGTAAAAATGATTGAAACCCTAAACATTAAAATAAAAAACCCAGTGCCCAATCAAGCTTCTAACATGCAGTCATCTCATCCAGAGGTGGTATTCTGTCGGTTTGGACTGGTTCACCCAAACCGGTAGCAGAAATCACAGGTGGGCCTGCCCATCCACCCTGGCTCTATTTCGTTCTATTTAGGGACATTTTTTGAGCAAAGTGCATGTGCGGAAGCCCACAAGTGGTATTCAGCGGGTTCTGACCTGTTCTGGAGAACTGGTAGTGGAACTTTTGGTAGTTCGGAGAACCAGTAAATACCTCTGACTGGCACTGCCCCCATCTATTCTCTTCCTCCTGAGTCCCAGCTGATCGGGAAGAAATGGGGATTTTGCAGTAACCTTCCCCTGGTGTGGGGAGGGAATGGAGATTTTACAATATCCTTCCCCTATCATGCCCACCAAGCCACATCCAAGCCACACCCACAGAACTGGTAGTAAAAAACATTGAATCCCACCGCTGGGCCAGGCATATGAGTGGACAGGGTTAGGGTTAGAGTTGTGAACCTTGGTGGTGTAGGGGTTAGAGTGCAGTACTACAGGCTACTTCTGCTGACTGCCGGCTGCCTACAATTTGACAGTTCAAATCTCACCAGGCTCAAGGTTGACTCAGCCTTCATCCTTTGATAAAATGAGGACCAGAATATCTGGCAATATACTGACTCTGTAAACTGCTTAGAAAGGGCTGTAAAGCACTGTGAAGCAGTATATAAGTCTAAGTGCTATTGCTATATCAAAACTTCTGATATTTTCATGGTTTTTTTAAACAATTAAAGGTACCAGTTAAAGTCTGTTCTCAGTAAGAAGAAAAACACACATAATATAAAAGAAAAAGGAACATATCAGAATGTTCCAAGGCAAGATATTTCTCACCACTCCCCTGGTGTACCAAAATGTGTTAAAGGACACAATTTTCAACTAACTTTCCATATAGTTTTCTTGTCCTTTGAAAGAGATGGGTTGATCAATACACTATGTTACTTACTTGCACATGAAAACCAAGGGTTTAAAGTCATTGGTAACTTTTTATATGAAATTATTCTTTTCAATTATGGTGAATAAAATAATAAACAGATATAGACATGACGGCCTTCTAAACTATTCCTTACTCCATTCTGAAATTTTCTCCCTACATTTAGAAGGCTTTTACCATGATTTTCTTTTACATTTCACCTTGTATCATCTAACATTCTTATAAAGGCAGACAGACAGAGTTTATATTAAATCCTATGTTCCACATTTGTAGTATTTAAGGTATCTGGTGATGGAGAAAATAGTTTTAAAATTCTCACCAAAATTACTGCATTTTTAAAAAACAATTTCTTTTATATAGAAAGAAACACAGCTTTTCCCCTTTCTAAATATATTTCAAAGCCAAATTGTAAAAACTACTGAGTTAGATTCACTGATAAACTGACAGTATGGTTGCTTTCTATTACAAAAGTCCATACACAATGAGCAGCATAGGATGCCAGCAATTATAAGCTACACTGTCCTTCTCAAAATATATGCTATTTCCTAATTTTTTTCAGGTTCTGATTTTTAATGTACTCTTTCAATAATCCCTTTTCTAATATAAGTCCCAATATTTATGGTTCATCAAAAACAATCTTTGCTTTAACTATACATTCTTTTCTCAAAGGAAACTGACAGTAAATTTTCCTATATGCATGGGATGAAATAAGGAAAATGGAAGTGATGGTTCACTCTTTTATAGATATTCTTTGAGTGCAATCCTGTACACATTTATGTAGATGGGAGCTTCTCTGAAAACACTAGTACTTACTAAGAGCAACATGTATCCAGGCAACCTATTTGTATTAGCAGGGTATCGGTCCTTTGAGGTAGGGTAAGTCAGGAAAGAAACTCCACTAGGACTTTCAGAAGTCTATTACTACAGGTTATAATGTAGAATGTTGATAGCCTGATGGAATCTATCGCTCTGTCTGTCTGTCTGTCTGTTTGTCTCTCTCTCTCTCTGTCTGTCCCTCCCTCCCTTCCTTTCTCAGGGCTAAACTGGTATTTATATAACAACTTTTACATTCTTTCTTACAAGAAACATCCATATTTCTCTAAAGGTTGAGATGAAGGCTACAATTATCATGGTATCTCTAACATAGTTCATAAATTCTTTGACTACTGTCATCCCATTTTCACCTTTAAGATTTTGGGAAAAGAAAAATATTGAAGTCTAAAATAGTAAAAGAAATTTCAAGAACTTGGTGAACTCTTCTTCATTTTTTTTCAATTTTGATAATGGGAATTAGTGCCAATGGCAACCAATTTAAAGGTAACCTGAGGACAAAGCCACTTACCTTATTGCAAAAGTGACTACCATTTTTGGTTCCTGCTGAGTAACATTCACAGGGTTTACAAACATCCAAAGTGGACAGATCCGCATCTCTATGCCGATAGAAGAAATCATTACACAACTCACAATTTCTTCCTGCAAAAAAGAAAAGGTTATGCAATGTAGCTTCCAATTCATGAAAATTAGCTATATAATTCAAAATTAAATACAATTCCCTTGAGAGAATTATGTAATTTTCAGGACGTCCATTTTAATGCACCTTTCATCTCTACCTGCCAATTTAGTGATCCAGAGCATATGAAACAATGAACCTGTTACAAACTGTGTTTTACTCCATTAAACTTCCATCTGTTACATAACATGACACTCCGACAAAGCTAGGCTGTTGGATACCTATTCTTTAAAATTGGAAATTATTCTTAAACTTCAAATTTTCCAATTAGCTCCTAAGAACAAAAGCCAAGAATACTGAAAGCTCCAAAAAATATCATCATGCAAAATGATGATTTAAGCAAGCACATGTTTTCATGTTTTATAAATGTTCAGCATGAAACAAAACCAGCATCCAGTTGTAGGAAATTAGAGAATTCTATTGGTGTTGTCCTGTCCGTAAAATAATTCATGGGGTCAGAGCTATTTTTGCAAAGTCAAGGATCCTTTCACATGAAGACAGCAGATCAGAACACACTAAAGCCAACAAAACTGCCTTACAAGTTAAGGGAGTTAGTTTGTTCTAGTAGAATTTATAATGCTTGAGAGTATCCATTGTTCTGAGTTACACATATTATACTGTGATTAAAAACAATAGTATTTATTTTTAAATGACACAGAAGTACAATATATCCCCAAATTATTGCCGAAATTCATCTAGTTATCCCATTATAATTTAGTTTGGTTTCGTATTTTTTGAACACCTATCATCTGAACAATCAAGAGCACAAGGTCCTATTAAAAGGGAATTTGTGGAAAATCACAAATATACCACAGCATATTGTTCTTTCCCATTTACTGGAATGAGCATGCCTTTTTTAAAGTGGCTTCTCCTGATTCAAAGCAAAGTCATGTTATGATGACTTCTGATAGCAACTCTGTGTTCTTTATTTCCTTGACAACCATCATACCGTATAATACTTACATTATTAAATTAAATTATACTTCATTATTTGTTTTCCATTTATGTTGTTTTAACTGAGACAATTCTTTAAATTTCAATCAATTCATTGCTGGACAAATCTGGGATCTTGTCTATGCAAAATATGCTCTTCCATATAGTATGTATTGTATAATGTTAATATATAATGTAACAAGTACATTGGTCTTTCAATGGTGAACATGTACATTACAAATAAAATACCTGTATGTAAATCATGTATAGGAGTTAGCAATACAGGCTTCACCTTATTTTGTGCCTAGATATTTCCAACAGACTTACAACTTTTTAGTACATAATTTTTACTTCTTTCTGTAATGCATGTATTTACATAATAAATGGTTGAGTTGAGTATAAATAATTCACATTATAGAATTCTACATGTTATACATCCACCTGTAATTAATGGTACTTCAGAAGAGACAACCACAAAGCATCTGCATTTGCCCCTGCAAATATATATACATTCCACTTGGTTGTGATAATTACCTGAAGTGTTATGTTGACAATTATCACAGACTCCACCACCACCTCTATAATATTCATTAGGAAAGTAATCTATTGTCCTGTTGTAATGACAGCTTACAGCATGGTTAAAACATTGACAAGGTTTGCAATTATAAGCATGAACTTGATCTCCTGGATAGAAAGGCTTGTCATTGTACAGTGGCTGACAGCGATCACACTGAAATAGAGAATTAGTCAGAAATGAATGTTTAGAATAGATATATGAATACAAATGTTGTGCACCCCTTGTTACATATTGACCTGTCTATCATTAATTTTTTAGAGACAGGAGAAAAGAAAAGATGTGTAAAATCATTTTAAAACAATGTTTTATTGTTTACAGTAGTCCTTGAGAAATGACCATAATAGGACATGCTATTAAAATTGTATGTTGCAACATTTGTTAAATTAAATGTTTCACTTAACAATTCCACCAACCCGCTCCCCCCCCCCCCATTGCAATTGTTAAACAAATGTGTAGATCGCAGTGGATCATGGCAAGGTTCAGAGGTGGGAGAGGCCCTTGGCTACCTAGCACAGCCACAGGTCTGCCCTCCCAAGGCCTCCCCCAACCTTGAGTCACTCTGTGGTCTGCTTCCTGCCCCTTAGGTTCTCACAGGCCTTTCCCCATTCCCCCCAGGCATTCCCCAATATATGCAAATGTATTCTTGAAATAAGCTTTATCTTACATGCAAATCTCAGCATTTTTCTTATTTAGGGTTCTCAATAGCAGAACCACATCTGGTTGAAACAACCTTAACCACCAAGCCATCTGAATGCTAAGCACAGGATTACTTGAAAACTATCTGTGTTTGCATATAATTCTGAAATACAGTTAGAATGAGCTATAAAATGTATCACTGCTGCTGTTTGAATATTCAATGTTTGTAGCTGTGTAATTATTATTTTTTTAATTCAGGGTATATGATCCTCCTGCTTAGCTCTCATAATCTGGTAAATATTGCTATAGGAATATATTTGTAGTACAACTATTTCCTCATCTTCCTCCTCCTCCTCCTCTTTCCTCCTCCTCCCTCCCCCTCTTCCTCTTCTTCTCCTTCTTCTTCTTGCCATCCTTCCGAGGATGGTAAAATGAGCACCCAAATTGTTGGGGGCAATATGCTGACTCTGTAAACTGCTTAGAGATGGCTGTAAAGCACTGTGAAGTGGTATATAAGTGCTATTGCTAATGTGTATACACATTCTTCTCACACCCCAAAACATGCTGTCATGATAGAATGTATGTACATTCTGATAGATGTACATACTAGTGTATGCACATAAAGAGACATAAACTCCTTAATGAGTCACAGTCATTGTGAGTAAACACTGTCTCCAATGTAACTAAGAAGATGAAATGCTATTTATTTCAGAAAAGATAAACAACGGTTTACATATCTACAAAGAAGCTGTTTTTATTAAATCAGAAGAAACATAACCATCATACAGATGGGATTGTTCAGGTGGGTAGTAAAGTTTCCGTCACCCAGTCTTGATTAAAATGGCTTATTTCAGTAGACAAACATTAATGGTAAACAGAAACCTCACTTGTATAACAGAGGAGGAAATCCTATTCCTCCCATTCATTACATTGATAATATTCTTGGAAAGGAGCTTTAAATTGGCTCCCTTCTGACATCAAGATTAGGTTATCCAATATAGAGATGTATCTGAAACTAAATGTAACAGTACACAGAAATTCGAAAGCTTCACAGATAATGGCCAATAATTACTAATCTGTGCTTTAAAAGGATATGCAGAGAACAAATTACTTTACTAATAAACCAGAATTTCACTATTCTCTTGGTTTGTAGATACTTAGGAATGTCATCAGAATAAACTTAGCATTCCATTCCAAGAAATGATCCATAGAGCTTTTCTTGTTTTAAAAAGTCTCCATATATGTAATCTCAGTTAAAGCAAGTTGGAAAAAGAAAACCAAACAGCATCTTGTTTGCATATTCAGTTTTGGAAGAAAAAAAATCCAAATTAACCAATGATCATTGTACAATCTTTCATTGAATTGCTTTAATTAAATTTAACAGAGTTTAGACAGTGAACTATTCTAAAAGTCCAAACTACTAGAATTAATTTATGTACACAGGGTATGAAATTAATATGTAATTCCCTCAAGGCCATGGGTTCAGACAGCCATTTCAAATAATACAGAAAGAACCTTTCCCGTTAGTCATTACGCAAACTCAAGTCAGCTACATAGAATGCTAGTATATTTATTTGGTGATTGTACTTTTCTCTAACCTATATAAGAGCATCTTTAATTCCCTGTCACTATTCTAGCTTGTTCGTCTTGAGGAAACTTTGACAACTTCAATTTTAATTGGCTATTTGAAATGAAAATCTCATGACTTTTCATCAACTGTGCAAAGTAAATTGCATTCCTGTGGGATAACAACCAAATTTTTGCTAAAGAATTGGCTCCTCTACAATTCTGCATTCTAGTTGATTGTCTGGGAATGCAGTCTTTCAATATTCAAGACTGTGCCTCACCATTTCAGTAAATACTTTCCACAAATTATTTTAGAAATCTAGGATCTATGGCCTGTGAAATTAAATCAGTTTGCCAGGGATGAGTTCTTGGAGAAACCCATCATTATCACAAAAATCCCCCCAAAAAATATTCAAAAATTTTCAGTTTATAAAATTCCTGATATAATCTAGATAGGCCTTTGCTGTATGTCAGAAATGGTTTGGACAATTCATTTAAAGATATTTATTTTCATTCATGCATACTTTTGTTCTGACAACCACATCTGAAGCATTTTGTTTCATTCAATATCAATTGAAAAAGATACAGCTAGGTATTGTATCACCCAAAAGAAAAAAAAAACCTTTTTATATAAATATAGTACTCTTCTGTCGATACGGAGCTCTCATTAAATTGTTAGGCTAAGCAGTTTTTGCTATTTTTATACAAAAATGGCTAGTTTATTAATAAGCAGTTAAATTATTCATGTCATCATATCTGTGCTTATAGATAGAGCAGAAGATACAGATATTGAAACAGAAATGAAATAGTCCTAAAAGAAATTAAATATAGCATGAGTATAGTTGTCATCAAAAATCCTAAACTGCATTTTTATTTATAGGGAATAATAATAATCTTTTTTTACCAAAACAGTCTATGGTCTGGCCCAGTCTTCCCCATCTCTATGTCTCTAATAATCTAGTCAGGAGATGAGTTGGACTTATGAAGTTCTACTTTCAAAAATCCTCAGCCAGCAATTATGGAACTGAAACTTATACAATTGATGTATGGTAAATAACTTTACATTTAGTCCATCTATAGTTAAAAAAAGCAACAAGCCAAGCATCTCAACAGACATTTGAGTGTAAAATTTCTTAAATCATGTAATTAAAATAGAAATAAATTGTCTGCTTAAGCAATCAAAACAGAGAAAACTATATCTTCATAAAAGTCTTCATGGTCTGGACTTAAACTTGTGCAGAATGGAACCTGAAGGACTGACATGACCTTACAGATTAAAAATTATTTTTTGCATATTTACCCTTTATTTTAATTCTCAGCCAAAATCTGCTCTAAAGCTTGCAAAGTACTCAGGATTAGGCTGAATCCCAACAAGATGGAAGGCTTAAATCAGAAACAATCTGACCATAATATTCTGAATTTGGCCTTGAAAGGAAAACATCATTATCTGGAGATTCCTCTTCATATAGCAAAGTTAGGCTTTGGCCATAAGAACCTTTGCCCAGTTTCACCTGATATACCAGCTATAGTTTTGCTTGGAATGTGATGCCTAGGCAATTGTCCCTCTTATCTACTGCTGGTGTTTGGATTTACCATAATGTACTCAATTGGATGGGACGTGGTGGACCAGTAGCTAAGATGCTGAGCTTGTTGATGAAAAAGGTTGATAGTTTGGCGGTTTGAATCCTTAGCATAACAGAGGGAGCTCCTGTTACTTGTCCCAGCTTCCGCCAACCTAGCAGCTCGAAAGCGTGTAAAAGTACAAGTAGAAAAATAGAGACCACCTTTGGAGGAAGGTAAGCAAAGTCTTTGGACAGCGCTGGCTCTTTGGCTTTGAAATGGAGATGAACACTGCCCCTTAGAATCAGGAACAATTAGCATCTATGTGCAAGGGGAACCTTTACTTTTTACTTTACTCAATTTGGGACTGCCTTTCAAGACTATTCAAAAACTCCAGTTGATACAAAAGCTAGCAACCCATTTCATATAAATTATATGTGTTTCCGAGTGTTTTTCAAAGTACTGTTATAGTTTATATGCTTGGTATATGCAGAACCATCTTCTCTCAGTAGAGCATAAACTGAAAAGGTATGTCATAAGGAAGCCAAGGAGGTAGGGATTCAGCAACAAGCCTTTTCAGTGTCTGCCCCAATCTTATGGAATGACATGTCCGCACTCAAGGTCAGAATTGGTCCCTCACTATTGAGATGGACATGTCCAAGATTTTGGGACATATAATGCCATGTACTGGAATGGCTGTAAATTATTTATGTCTGCTTTTATTTTGTGCAATTTTATTTTATTTAATGGATTGGTTTACTGATCATATTAATCTCTATATATTTATGACTCATATATATGCTATATACCCACACGCAGAAATGCTTATGTATTTTTATGTATTCAGGAATGTAGATAAGAAATCAGTCAAGTTCTAAAAGCTTAGAATTAGAGCTATATATTTCAAAATTGGTTAGGAAATGGTTTGAAATGTATAAACTGCAATCTGCAATAACATAATGCATTTTGTTTTTATTATCAGGACCAAAACTGCATGCGTTCTTCTTACTATGAAAGAAGGATTATTTAAGCTTTTTAAGTACAGCCACAGTAGATTAACAGTGATTAGAACTGCAGTAACTGTGGAAATCACCAAAAAGAATGACTCTAAACAGAAAATGATAGGGCACTAATTTAACTTGTTTTCACACAAAATCACAGGTCTCAACAGAGTACTTGGTGAACTCCAGATCATATTAAATATTTATAATTAACTCTGATAAAGTGCCACTTCATGATACTTGTTCTAATTAAAAAGACAGCATCAACTCGCATTTCTAAAAGACTTATTTAGAAAAAATCATTTTTGTGATGGACCATCATTCTAGCAACCTTTTACACGTTAGAAGAATCAAGCTGATTTTTAGAAGTTTTATCAGTCTTTTAAAAAC